TGGGGAAATGAGAAGTTATAGGTATGCCTTGCATAACCCAATACAGTGCTGTGGAAAGAGGAGTCTCAATCAATTTTATAGACTGTTTTGTCAAAACTCTAGACACATAGCCAACATCTCTTTTGAAGTTTTAAAAATTCCTTCTGTGTTGACTACCATTTTTATGGGCCCCTAAGTGATGACGGAGGAGGGCAACTAATCAAGTCAATCTTTTTTCTTTCTTCTTGCTTACCTATTTTTCTTATGGGTAGAAGTTGTAAGAGAATCTGGTTTCAATTCTTAGTACCATCAACATACATGTGTGAGTGAATTGTGTATATATACATGTAATACATACCTATTTATATATGTAGGTGTACATATTTTTTCCTTTCGTCTTACATCCATTTATACATGTTTATATAGAGTATAAAAACTATTTTTCTTTTAAAGTTATGTTTTCTCCTATCACTAAATTCTTAATAGTGACTTCACTGTAGCTTCCAAGTGAAACATAATTTAGTAATATTTGTATGTACACATATAAGTCATAGTCATCTTTTGGTTTTGAAAGATGTATGTATCATTTCCTGCATATATTTTATTCAGCAATACCACCACAAACATAATTATTCATAGGTTCCTTTTGATGTTTTGATAAACATTATGAACATTACCAATGGTTTGGTAAATGTTATCAAAAGTACATTTTTAATTTTTTGTGCTTTTAATCTTATTTATGCATGGTAGACTCAGCAGGTAAGGATGCTTAGACAAAGCTAGAGTACCTTTAATGCTTACATTCTTTCTGTAGCTTTTGAAAAGTCTACAACTTTTTTACTATTTTGCCAGCAATATAGCTGAGGAACAAGACTTTCCCTTGATCAGCTTGTCTTTTACAAGACTTCAAGCTTATAAATGCATGCTTACTCATATTACATACACATAGCTTTTCTCTAATGATAATTCTCTCAGAATATTCTCAAACATATGTGATGCAACAGGAGGAAAGTCTGAAGTAAGTTCCGCAAATAAAGCATGTGACTTTGTGAAATCCTTCTGTGGAGAGAGGTCCAAAGAAGAGTATGACTATAGTGTCTACTTCCCTGTGTACGATATGGAAGATTGGGGAAGGTTTTCATAAGGGCTCGCAGAATGGTGGCTTGGGTCTGTGACACCGACAGCAGGGTTGTAGAGAGCATTGTGTTCTCTCAGATTCACCCTCCTCTCTTCCTTCCCGCACACTTCACTACTTGTTTGTATTTAGCAGCTATCACAGAGGGTTTCCATCGCCTTTTTGGTCATGATACTGTGACACTGGACTTGTATCTTACACAACTAACACCACTCAAGAGAGTATAAATATTCTTAACATATCTTTGATGATTTTATTTTTTCTTCAGTGAAAAGGAAAGTTATGACATATGCCAAAAGGGGGAAAACAGCTTTGTAGAAGGTGTGAAGCAATCAGTTGTTGATGGTTAATCTCTTTTCTGTTACCAAATAATAAATTTCATAATAACAAAGTGTCCAGATATAGCATTGTCACTAGTTTGTATTTGTAAGATTTCTGCCTAGTGTGATTAAAAAATGTACTTGCATTTTTGTGACATTTTACCCATCTCAATTAAAATAACACCATCAATGTAAATATCCAATACTGTATAAATATTAGTTAGTAGTATTAAAGCTATTGACAAGGACCAAATAAGATATATAGTGCACAGATAGTGCACAGAAGTCTTTTCTGAGACTGACTCTCCAACCAAGGACCATCCATGGATATAACCTAGAACCTCTGCTTGGACGTAGCCCATGGCAGCTCAGTATCCAAGTGGGTTCCCTAGTAAGGGAAACAGGTACTCTCTCTGCCTTGAACTCAGTGGCTGGCTCTTTGACATCTCACCACCACCCCCGAGAGAGAAGCAACCTTGCTAGGCCACAGAGAAGGACATTGCAGCCAGTCCTGATGAGACCTGATAAGCTAGGGTCAGATGGAAGGGGAGGAGACGTCCCCTATCAGTGGATTTAGAGAGGGGCAGGGAGGAGATGAGGGAGGGAGAGTGGGACTGGGAGGGAATGAAGGTGGGTGCTACAGCTGGGATACAAAGTAAGCAACCTGTAATTAGTACAAAAAATAACAAAAGAAAAATTAAAAAAAAAATTATAGTTCTAGGGTTGGCATTTATATCAAGATTTGTTTTATCATTCTCTATTCTGAGATCAAATATTTAGAAATACTTCTATATTGCCAACACATCTGAAGACAATTTCATATTTTCCTACTAATTTTTAAAAGTTTCCATAACTGGCAAGAAGAGTGTCAATGAATTCCTAGTCATCCAGAATCCAGATGGTTAATATATGTTTCCTGGGAAGAGGTAAAATGGAGTGGATGTTTTAAATAAAACATCTACAGCATTTGTCTCTTAGGTGCTTTCTATGCTGTAGTGTGAAAATATCACAGCACCTCTGTGTTTTAACCTCTGAGTTATAGGGCCTGTTACTCTTGTTGTTCTTTCATAATTCCTCTCCAAATTTGCAACATCCCTCCTTTACTCTAAAGCGTTGAATTATAGCACTGCAGTATCAAAAATATTCAAGGGTCTTGGATGAGTAATGCTTGGTTTTCTTTAATCCTTTTTTTATATAAATATGAACTTTCAAAAAAGTTATTAGATATAAATTACAGTTAATTTACAACTGTGTTATAGGTAATAATATTTTAAAGTGGTTAGGAGAGATTCGTAAGTCATTTGGGAAACATTTATCCAATCTTTGTAGCCTAGGTCTGCTAGCAGATGACTACCAACTACCAACCACCAAGCATAGGTTTCAGAATGCAATCTACAGAGGCAAAACTTACAGAATGGATTGGGGAAAAAAAAGGGGGGAGGGCAACCTGACTCCCCCATTTCTCCAATAGACGGAACTTTTCTCACTTGTTCTTTTAAACTATTTTCATCCTAGTTTTCTATTCGGTCTCTTATAAAAGCAAAGTTATGCTTCACCAACTCATTTCAGTGCAGAGCCGCACCGTGGTAGTGACTGCCGCAATCTTCATCACGGGCTCATTTTAAGGGAAAACCACACACTAAGTAGCAATTCAGAACAGGGCTGGTGAACTGGGAGGGGGCTGGGTGGACCTAGGCTTTATACACACTCAACACACACACTGTTACTGAGTTCTCCCACTACTCCAGCAGAGTACAGCTTAAAGCAACATTAATTACAACCTAAATTACGTTGAAAGACTTTCTGTTATTTGTAAACAAGCCACTTTCATAGGATGTTCAGATTGCAAAATTCATCTTAAATCAGAATTTTGTTATCTAATTTCAGAAATTTTTACATGTCTAATTCTACTTATAAGTGAGTATATACCATGTGTGTCTTTCTGGGTTACCTCACTCAGGATGAACTTTTCTAGTTCTCACCATTTGTCTGCAAGTTTCATGATTTTCTTGTTTCTAATTGCTGAGGTGTATTCCATTGTGCAAATGTACCAAAATTTCTGTATCCATTCCTCAGTTTAGGGACATCTGCATTGTTTCCAGATTCTGGCTATTATGAATAAAGCTACTACGAACATGGTAGAGCAAATGTCGTTTTGTATACTTCAGCATATTTTGGATATATGCCTACCAGTGGTATAGCTGGATCTTGAGGAAGCACTATTCCTAATTGTCTGAGAAAATGCCAGATTGATTTCCAAAGTGGTTGTACAAGTTTACATTCCCACCAGCAATGGAGAAGGTTCCCCTTTCTCCACATAAATATTAGATATATAATATAGGATAAACATACTAAAATTTGTACACTTAAAGAAGCTAAGCAAGAAGGAAGACCCTGGGTAACATGTTCAATCCTCACTCTGAAAGGCAAATGGAATAGACATAGGAAGAGGGAGACAGGGAACTGGACAGAAGCCTACCACAGAGAGCCTCTGAAAGACTCTCCCCAGTAGTGTATCAAAGCAGATGCTGAGATTCATAGCCAAACTTTGGGCAGAGTGCAGGCAATCTTATGAAAGAAGAGGGAGATAGAAAGACCTAGAGAGTACAGGAGCTCCACAAGAAGAGCAACAGAACCAAAAAATCTGGGCACAGCAGTCTTTCCTGAGATTGATACTCCAACCAAGGACCATGCATAGAGATAACCTAGAACCCTTGCACAGATGTAGCCCATGGCAGCTCAGCGTGCAAGAGGGTTCCTGAGTAATGGGAACAGGGACTGTCTTTAACATAAACTCAGTGGCTGGTTCTTTGAACACCTCCCCCTGATGGGGGAGCAGCTTTACCAGGCCACAGAGGAGGACAATGCAGCCAGTTCTGATGAGACCTGATAAGCTAGGATCAGATGGAAGGGGAGGAGGACCTCCCCTATCAGTGGACTCGGGGAAGGGCATGGAAGGAGATGAGGGAGGGAGGGTGGGATTGAGGGGGGATGAGGGGGGGCTACAGCTGGGGTAGAAAGTGAATAAACTGTAAATAATTTAAAAATAAATTAATTAAAACAAAAACAATTTCAAAAAATTTTCAGAAAACTAATGTGACTCTGCTTTTACGTTTCATCAGCTTTAGTTCCTCTAAAGAGAAATAAACAAATAAAGGTGTTCATCTACTCTTTCCCAGGCGTACTCAGTTTTCACTATTTATTTGAAAAATATATGTTCTCAAAGAAATTATTTTCAGTTTTTTTTTATACTAATTTGTTTTCTAGACAGGGCTTGTTTTATAGCCCTGTGTGACCTGAAACTCACTATGTAGATAAAGCTAGTTTCAAACTCCCAGAGATCCGCCAGCTTTGTCTCCCGAGTGCTGGAATTAAAGATAGGCACTTGTCAGATTTATTTTTTATGTGCATACATGTATGATTTTATGTGGGTTTGTACATGTGAGTGCAGTGCCCATGGAAAACAAAAGAGCACAGCAGAGAATGCATGGCACATGCAGAGGTCCATGGACTCTGGGGAGTTGTCTCAGTCCTTCTAACACATTGGTCATGGGGATCAAACTCACATCATCAGACTTGGGCAAGTGTCCTTTATCCAAATGACCCATCACATTGGCCTCAAAAACGATTCCTTTAGAAACAGTACAGTTTATGCCTCAATGTGATAATGGAGTCATAGAAATATAGTATTCTGTGTCTATGGAAACTTCACGGCCTTCATTTCACAAGTAATCTGTGTCTCTAATATCTAGAATAATTTTGTTTCTCTACCTGGCAACAATGTAATATCTTAATTTGCAGTCTTGATTTGAAATCTGAAGATATCTTGATTAGCGAGAGATGAATTTTAGCTATCATCATAGTTTGGGGAAGGCTCATGTAAAGATTCTTTCACTGAATCCAAATATTTAGTAGTAACATATAAATTTGTGTCTGTCTTCAGATGTAGTTTTAAGAAGCCAGAATAACGTCAGCCTATGACGGAGTGCAGGATGGTGTTTTGCTGTCCTTTGAATTTCAATTTTAGGTCACCTGCACTTGTGCATTTGCACTTGTGCGCATACAAATTTATATAAGGCATTCTGACATTCAGCATAGTAAAAAGCAAAATCATAACAAACTTGTAGCAGAAATAACATGAGGGCTTGTAAGAGAAATAAATCTGTGGATCTACAGATGAAGACAAGCTGAAGCCAGGGACAGCTTGTGTTTATAGAGAAGCTACATCACAAAGCAAAACTCCTTTTACTTCTGGTAAGTTCAAATGTAGTGAACAATGTGAAAACTACAAATGAAGTTAGCTTTGCAGTTCAGTAAAGATGCCTCACTGGCAAAGCTTTACTAGAAAATTAAAAAAATATAATAAAAAAAATAAAAAGACTGGGGATTACAAGATTGTACATCTTACATTAGGAAAATTATGAACAAAAACTTTAAATTAGAACGTCAGCATTCCACTGAAATGTGAGAATCTTTGTAATCAGTGAAAGGTAAGCAGACTAGAAAGACATTTGTGATCCGGTGTATGTTTGATAATACAATGCACACGTTTGCAATCACTCCGGTCATCACATGCATGTGTGGGCTACAAATGCAAACAGCTACAAACCCCCCACATTTAGCTCCTCCTTGCACATAGAAACCCAGTTCAGTACTCTGCGTTTGCTTGAAGTTCCTCTTCCCATCCTCTCTAGAGCCTTCCATCCTCCACATTATCTTCAGCCTACCTACTCTTTTTAGCCTATACTCCTTGACAGTTATTAGTGAAACTTGAAAGTGTGACATTTCATATGAGGAGAAAGTTAAGCTAAGTGAATTTTTCAAAGCATATTCTGAGAAAATTATGCTTTGAACACAGAATAGTCCTAAAAAAAGCACAATGTGGAAATCTCCCTCTGCATAAAATTAAACAAGTGCATTTAAGGAAGAGCAGGATAAAAAGCTTTCAAAACACTGAAGTTAATGGTGCTCTCTCAGAAAGTTACAGAACACTCTATGTCAAAAAGTTCATTTGACTATAGATTCTGTTTTCAGTCAAGCCCACATTTTGGGAGCATTCTTCCCACAGGCCTTACAGAACCCATTTTTTAAACTGCCAATAAGAAGGGAAAAGGCTAAGTAAGTTTCATGATAACAGCCTTTTGGGTAAAGATGAGGATTTTTCTAAGGAGGGCAGATACAGGTGACTTCTGATCATATCAGCATGTATGTATGTAAAACCTGTTCAACGGAGAGAAGAGGAGGGCGAGAGTAAGCCAAGCGTGACAACAGAACAAACTTTAAGGACACATGAATGTGCACAACTCTAGCATTAAAAACTTTAAATTATGAACACAAGTGACTAGCCTCAAGGCAGTAATCTTCACAAAATACAGGAATTCTTTTCATTCTCATGAAAGAATTTTGCCTACTAACCCCAGAACCCTATTATGATATGCTATAGTTAATTTAAAACCTGAAGCATACTTTGAAACAACTGTTATAAATATAGTAAATCAATTTTTAAGTTCCATATACACAAAAGCACATAAAAATTTCAAGTGAGACTCTTAATATCACAAGATATATCCTCAAGAAATTCAAACTTATATTCACACAAACATTTGTACGTGATTGCTTAGAGTAATATGTGTCATATTAAATTTAATTTATTTAATCATAGTAATTTATCATTTAATCATATTAAAACAAATATTGGAACATATCAAATATCCACTAATGAATGAACAAATAAAAAATGATATATCCATTCAATGAAATAAGATCCACTCCTGAAAAAAAAAATGGAATTTAGTGCACATAGAACATGGACAATGCTTGAAACCATCAAGTTAAGTGAGAGAGAACACATGTAGGGTTCTATTTTTCCTCAGTGGAGGGAAAGGATAACTATGTAGAGGTATCAAGTAAATGAATAGCTACCAAGAATGGAAAGTAGGGGCAAGCAGGGAGGAAGCTAACAAGCAAACAGCTTCTTACTGAAGTGGCAGAATGCTCTAGAATTAAATATTGAGAATTTTTACACAAGATGATGAATAACTAAAAATGACTGAATCATAATTATTAAAATGGAGCATGCGCTATTCTGAATTAGTTATCTAAGCAGTAACTTTTAAATTAAAAAGCAAGTTTGCTTCTACATAAATAGAAATTTTAGAGTACCTTCCCTGTGCTAGCACCTCTGTAATTTAATTGCTTTATTGAATGGGCTTGTTTCATTTTTTTTACAGATGAGGAAGATGAAGCACTTTGCTCAATGTCCATCTTGTTTTGTTTTACAGACCAAGCTGAGTTAGAAAACTGGGAAGTGTGACTATACACTACACACTATCCACTAACTTACAGAGGTAATATGCTTGAACAAGTTGGAGCTACCAGAGTTTTCAGAAAGTTCTGAGAGAATGGATCCTCATTTAGTCCTGCCCACAATTGTTTTAGTGCCACCAAAGGAGGGCTAAGTAGTGGTAAAAAGCGTAGAAGAAGCAGAACAGTATAAAATGCTCCCATCTGTTCCTAAACAGAAAAATGTGTATCAGCTCTCCTTTCGCTATACACCAGGTTCAATCCTCCTTAGAGCCCCTTAATTTCTTTAAATTCTGCAAAATAAAATTGCAGCCATAATTATAATTTTATTTGCAATAAGTGGAATATTTGTGTTTTCTCTGGATAAACATACTGAAATCCAAATCCCCAAAGTAACAGTATTAGGAGATGAACACATTACATTAAGAGAAAAGCTCCCTTTTGAATGGGATTGGCACAATTATAAAAGTAATTAATTTGGACCTACCAACCTGTGAGATTATATGCGATAGATGACCAGTGATGAACAAGAAAGCAAGTTTTACTGTGACGTGAAAACAACCAGCGCCTTGACCTTGGTCTCAGCCATCTCAGAATTGTGAGGACCGGTTCCCTACTGTTCAGAAGCCGCCCTGTCTTTGGTCATTTGTGACAGCAACCCCATGACCTTTCCTTTACGGATTAAGCTACTAGGTCCCTTACCAAGATATTCTCAAAATAGTTGAATTCGTTTACTTGCCCTCTAGTGAAACATGAAAATCACCTATATTTTGTCAGCTCAGATACCTGGATTTGGGCAAATGTTCTGACTGCCTCACCTGACTCATCCCAGTCTTAGCTTGGCTGCTCAGTAGCCTCTCTACATCGATCTATGTATGTAAAGCCACTGTAGAGGAGCTGTCTGCAGTCAGGTCACTGTGGCATATATCTCAAAAAGGGACAAGCCTTTTCCATAGCCCAGCTACACAACTCATTCCTTGTTTTAGGATTTTATATGGAAACATCCTCTATCACAATAAATTCGAACAGCAGAAAGGTAGGTACTACCCTCTTATTGGTCCCATATAGTGAATGTTGTACCACTCAATGCCTTTAACTTAGTGAATGAAACATAAATTTTCTTTTTTCTTTTTTTTTACCTTGACTCTCTCAAAAACTGTTCTCTTTGGGAATTAGCTTCAACTGAACAAAGACACCTTATCCAGTGTCATGTCCCTTTTCCCAGAGGCAAGCCACAACCAAGAACTAGTAAATTCTGAAATATAGAAGTCAACCCCTTGGATCAAGTATTTTTCTCACACCAAAGATATGATCCCCCAGCACATTCGCCCACAAGCTGGCTCAAAGGATATTTTCTGTAAAAAAGTGATACTCATCATTACCTTCCACTTGGAACTGAAATGTGGCGTTTGATATTATGTCTGAATTTTGGAGAAAATAAACCGCAAGTGATTCAGTGTCTTCCATTCTCTCGTCACGGCCCATACACGAGGTCCTGGCTCTTTTTTTTTTTTTTTTTTTTACAGTCTTTTGCAGGGTAAACATATCATTTTGTGCCTTAAGTCATTCTTTTCAGAGGCAGCTACAGCAAACATCAATTTGCTTTATAGTCATGGCACTCTGAAACGTGATAGAGGTGACTCTGGAAAGAGTCTCTGAAGGCCAGACTTCCCCTGGTGTTTATTGAATGTAAATTTCGTTCAAGATAATAGAGTCCATTGTGGAAATCAGTCCAGTCAGAGACATCCAATGATTACGCCAATAATTTATCTTAATCTGTGTGTTTTTCTAGTTGAGAGAAGCATAGACTAGGGATGAATCATAATTATTATCTAATTACTCAGCTTACACTGACCATGAGTAGCCTTTTGTACAGCCAATCAGGAAATCTCTCTTCCACAGTACTAGTCACTGTACCGTTATCATTTACCCCCTTGCTTGCTAACAGCACTGTTAACGCTACTGCATGCTGAATCACAGAGTGGCTCGCTCAGCATTCTCTTGGAGCAAGTACTAGGATCTGTTGGGGAAACATGGAATACTAAATAGGGGCTTGAGAAATCTGTCATTTATTGAGAAACCTACTATATATGCATAAAAATATTTTGTATAATACAAAAATATACTAGTTATGTTGACATACATGTATAAGGGAAGAGAAAATTGCTAATTGCATATAGTAAATGCTCAATAAATGTTAAATCATGGCCCAGTAAGCCAACAGATATCCTCTCAAGATAATCCAGTGAACAAAAACCCTCTCTTGCCTGCTTCCAAAGGTAAGAACAAGTTTCATCTTTATGAGATTATTTCAATTTGGAGTTCTGAAAAAAAAAATGTGTGGACCAGACTCACTCCCATCTTTGCAAGTGCAAAAACATGCGAAAGTTAACAGAGAGCAACAAGGAATCATGCCTGTTTCCTCCTTACTGACCGAACAGAACATGCAGAACATACTCTGACTGCACAGGCCACAGATGTGAAACTCAGCTACCGTGCCGAGACTCCAACAGTAAAACCTTCAGCTTCAGGGTCTGCTACCACATGAGAATAAACCAGGGACAGCCTGTGATGTTTGGCATACTCTTCACCAACACCGAAAACCCAGGCCCCAGGACAGCCTCAACTGGAAACTAAAACCGGCAGAAAACAGTGACAACTAGCACAATAACACCATGGACATCAGCATGAGCAAACTCCAAAGACAAGATTCCTGTAAAGAAATATTTTCATTCCTATGTCTAAGGATGTTGAATGAAGTTTTACAGTACTCATTGAAGTCTTGTGTTACTTAAACCGGAGAACGTAGGAAGAGGAAAGGGGAAGAAAACAAACACAAGGCAAAGAAGGAAAAAGAGAAAAGAACAGAAAAAGTCTACTCCTTTAAAATATGGTCCCTATTTATTTTTCAAAAGTCTGGACTGTAGACCGCATTCCAAATAACAATCTGTTTTACAATGCATAACTGAAGCATACCACTACTTTTGAAATGGGCAGAACACATGGTATAGAGTGCGGTCATGGGAGATTTACAAAAGAGCTGAGTTATTTATAAACACAAGGTATGAGAGATTTAGTTCAAAGGAGCAGATTCCCCACATTGGAGATGGAAGAAAAGTGCTGAGCCCTTTCTCAGGCTGGGCTAAGCTTTCATGAGCTAGTCACTCTACTTTCCACAGGAATGTGGGAATGGTTGCAAAATGGCTCTGTTCTGCAAGCACGCTAGCTTCAAGGGAAAACTACTGCAAAATGCATCTTCCAAAAAGGATGCCTCATCTTTTTCTTCTTTTTCTAGAAAGGAGGAAATCCGTCTGCTCACCTGTGTCAAAGCCCACACTCGGCACGATGTCCACGGTCCCATGAAAGGCTCCGGCCCATGCTGAGGTAGCAGTGGTGACGGTAGTCGGATCTGTCTTTGTGATGTCACACTGTGGAGCAGGAATCCTGGCGGCGCGCACTGACGGCATTAGCAGGGGCCCGTATGCAGGATCCAAGGCAGGGCCAGCAGCTGGGTGGTGGTGGTGGTGGTGGTGGTGGCGGTGGTGCATGTGGGCGTGAGGGTGGTGGTGCCGCATGTACATGTCATGCATGTGGCTGTAGGACGGGCTCACCTGAGATGCCAGAGGATAGTGCCAAGACTCGGACACAGTAGGGGGCGGGGCAGGGCCAGTCTGATGTAGACCGTGTCCTGGCCAAGAGTTGGGGTCTGCTGTTGTAAAGGTGCCGTGGGGTGCAGTGACTTGGAAGTCAGGGTGAACTCCCCCCAAACAGGGTGCAGGCGGGGACTGGTAAGAGCTGGTCCAAAAGGAAGTTGGGAAATTACTCCGCTGGCTTGAGAGAGCTGAGCTGTCTGAGAAGACAGAAAACACATTATTTACATAAGATACAGTTCTAGGGTTGACTTGCCTTTGCTTGCCCAGTAATGTTTTACAAGCAAGTGGGTTATCATGCACTTTCTCTCCTCCAAAGAGAAATGAGCTGGTATTGGGTTAACCTCTGCAGTTCCATGTCAGGGGAATGGGACAAGATTTGAAGGTCTGAGTGAACCCTGTATTTGCTTCCTAGACTTCTGCTGCCCCAGTCCGAGCTGAGGTTTTTCACTTCAATTTATGACTGTAAAGCTTCATTTCCTGATGGGAGCCTTGTGGCTCTTCATTCTAAACAGATGTCATTGCTATATATTTCTCTGGTAAAAACAAACAAACAAACAAAAACATTTGTGCCATTGATGAAGTGTGTGTATAGATTGTAAATACTAACTTTTTTTAAATGCTAACCTAATTTTAATCTAAACATAACATTTCAATGCCAAAAGTCAAGACATGGTAATAAAATCACATGTAATTGTCCTCACCAAATCACTGATCATTAAAAAGAACACATTTTATCTTCTTACTTTTGTGGTCCTGGAAATAACAATGGATAACATTTATTGAGAGCAACCAAATGTCCAACAACAGCCCAAAGGCTGCTCATGAGCTCATTTGATTCTCATTCTAGTTCCATGAGAAAATGGAGACAGGGCAAAGTCTAAGATGTTGGCAAGCACAGGCCTACACTTCAAAACCAGATAACCCTCCTCAATGGTCAAACGATGGTTGACTTCATAATGTCTATAAAAGGGAGCAATTATTGCTGAAGACTGTGCTTCAATGGTCAAAGGACAGTAGACTTCATAACGGCCACAGAGGGAACAATTATGATTGTTACCTCATCACTGTAACCTGGATTTGGAGCTTCGCTAGAAATGGTAACCAAAAAAGGTTCAGGTTGAGCTATACTTTTCAGGACATTTTAGGAAACTGTGGAAAACTATACTGCACACTTGGGAACAAGGAGGGAAGAAGGAGGATCCACCTCTCTTTCAAGAGTTTCCTCAATTCAGTGTCTCTATCATCTCAGTGTTTATGGGTCTCTATCACGGGTCAGACACAGAGAAGTCAAAGGTATACAGACAGCTGTCTCTGGGAATCACAGTCAGGAGGAATTCAAGGGAGGAAGAAGACATACAAATGTTTTTAATAGCAAACCCACAAAATGAGCCTGAAAAGTGATAAACTGTTGAATTAGAATTGGCTGAGTAGGAGTCAAGCCAATGAAGAGGGAAAATGAAGTTCTAGGCTGATGGAACAGCAGGAAAAATATGAAAATATGTACACAATTTACACAGATGCTCCCAAATACAACAATAACACCAACAGCATCAGTGGCATTTAAAAGATAAAATTCAATAGGCAACATTTGGTTACACAGGGGGTATGAGGCAGGTGGGGTCGGGGGGAAGAGGAAGAGACAGATAGACTATGGTGCTATGGTGAGCACAGCCTTACTGGCCAGGGAATTGAAATGAACTTTATCATAAGAGGCATCCCAGGACTCATGGAAAGGTTTTAATCTAGGAAATGACAAGGTCAGATGACTATTTAGAAATGTCTCTGTCCACCTCATAGTTGGCTTCTTATAATATTGTGTATCTAGAGAAGCTCTGTCCTGTGACTCTTCACTTTCATCACAGATTTGTCTTTTCTCATTTTGTAACCATAAGGAACTTCTTGATCTTTCCTGCACTAAAAGGTATAAAGTATGTATAAATTAAAATTTATCCACTTGCGATTATCCTGCTCAATACTTTCATTCTGTCAAATATTTTATTGATTATTTCTGTTAAAGTTGGACATGAGGTTGCAAGTAACATTACTTATGCATATGAACTGTTGAGATTTTATGTCAGGTTCAACATAAAAGCATCTGTATTATTCCATTGAACAAAAAAATATCTTTAAGCGGTGCTCTGTGATAGAAATAGATAATCTAACATGCTTATCATTTCATATACTTCTAAGACATGAGCATATTTTTCTTGCTTCAATATAAATAACTTGAATAAACTTCCACATGTATCATGTGTTAACCAAATCAATCCAACTCTGTCATACTCTGGTATCTTCTCTATGTTACCTAATGATTTTGATATTGTCAAGGCATAAACATCCTTTTTCTCCCTTTCAGATCTGCACCAGTGTTTCCATTATTCAACTTCTCATCCTGTGACCAGAAGCGGAAGTTTCATCCTCATCTCCCTCTCACCATTACAATGGATTTCAGAACCCTTGCTCCTTCAGATGGAAAGGACAGAAATTGTTGCTGAAGCCTTCAGCCATTAACAGGAATCTCTTAAATGAATGACTGTCTTGTGACAGTCACCACTGGCTTAAAGATAGCATTTAAGAATCAGCCTTAAGGGCATTGTAGGATAGCTTGCCAGCCACCAATCTCCAACTTTGCTCACACACCTTCTGTCTTTGGTACGAAATTCTTCATTATGTTCAAAATGTCTATCTCCTGGTGCAACCAGAACCGGAATATGAAAACTGACAATCCCTATTCCATAAACATGTGCCAGGGACTCAAGTTCCTCTTATTGAACCTCCTGAGGAAAATGGCCAAAGTGCAGAAGTAATACCCCACTCATCTGGATATCTTCCTCTTGGTTTTTATCAAGATGGAGCTATTCTTATTTTATAGTTACATAAACATTGTAGATATGCACCACAAGTTCACATAATGAACACATTCCTTACCAAAATCTTATTATCCTATTTACAAAGTACTATATTGTGATGAGTGAATATACTATCATTAAAAGAAGAAATCTATTTTTGAATGACTCCATAAAAATTGAACCACTCTTTTAAAATTCCCCAGGGAAAAATAAAATTAAAAGCAACTTAATATTTTCCCAGTCTGTATAGGGCCTCCTGAGATTAACATAAAATTCGTAGGGACCTACGTAACCCTTTTCAACAAATACCACTGAATTTTAAGTAAGTAAAACAATATTGAATGGAAAATATGTACATGGAGAAATCAATGCATCAGGATCACTATTTGGTATCTTGCTTGTTTAAAGAAAAAAAAAAAAGTGACACAAAGAAACAGATGCTACCCGGTGCTTCCTGCTAGAGAACCAGCATGCTTATTTCATATGTATGTAAATTCTTTTCATTATGTGAGTACTTAATCACAGCCACATTTGGTGGATAAGAAAGCAGACAAAAAGCTTGCAGGAGCCATGCCCATGCAACGTTACCTTTAAGGCTAGTGGAAATGATTCAGAACTGCATAACATTAAGACCCAGTTGGGATTCTGGAGTCATCATTATTCAACACTCACAGTTTTAGCATTCAGATGGTGCCAACACTGATAGTCTTACACACATACACACACACACACACACACACATACACAAACAAAACAAATAAACAAAAAACCTAAATATGAGTTTGTTGAGTTCACTTTTAGGAACGTATACACATGTATTTATAAAAATGAAAGAAAAGACAAAATTGATATATTGTCTAATGATCTCTCCAAAGCATGCCAAGTAATATCACCATCTGACTTTCAGGGGAAAAAAAAATGCACAGAGAAATAGAGGAGCTGAACAGGGATCACGGAGGCCAAGCAATATTTTTAGATCTAAAACTCTTTTTAGAATTTCACAATACTAGGTTACTTTTTATAGCAACCCTACATTACAACAGCAACAACAACAACAACAAAAAATAAGTGAGAAAAAAACTGAAACCATTTAGGAAAGATTCAAATTTTATTTTTTAAAATAATTAAGACAATATTAAATGGAAAATAAGACAAAGAAATGCTATCATAAGTCACCCTTACTAATCTCCTGCTGACACATTCTTAGAGCAAATGCAAATGAAAAACATCAGTGTCCAACATAACGTTTTCTTTGAAAATGCACAAAAAAGGAAAGTATTCAGTGCATCGGGGTGCATACCTGTGATTTCATTCATGAAGAGGATGAGGCAAGAGGAGTCTACAAGTTCACTGAAAACCCACATGAAGAGTGCCTACCAGGTGAACCGAGCTAGGAGTAAGTCCATGTCTCAGAAGGAAAGAGGAGGAGGAGGAGGAAGGTCGTGGAGAAGACAAAGGCAAGAACACTATTTAAGCTCAATTCTTAATCTAAAGGGCTACTTTTAAGGCCTGTTCCCTGCTTCTTCTGCTTCCTATAAAAACCAACTGTCAGGCCAGAAAAGGAATGAAGTGTATTCCAATCTCTGTCAGTCAACAATTATGCCTTGCAATGGTATCCAGAGTCGGTCCCCCGTTACAGCCTCATGAAGGCAGCTGGAGCTTATTCCTGGGGGCACTATCATGAAGTGAGTCAGGCCTCACTTTCCTCTCACTTGCTCTTCTAACTTCCTGGAAGCAGCAGCCCCAGGGCCTCCAGGCCCTCCATGAGTGTCTGCTCACAACAGTAATTCCCAACCAACTACCTCAGGAAATAGCCCTTCTCTCCTTTCTGACTCTGTTTAAGCTAAGCTACTCATTTGGAAAGGACTTTTCCACATGGCTGAGTTCTCCAAGTAGACCCAAGCTGCACTAACTGGCAGATTAATTTATTTTGAAAGTGCAAGAAAAGTAAATAAATGGCAGAAATTGCCATAGAACATGGGTTTTAAATTTAATTCAGGGACCTACTCTGCTAAGAATTTATGTGAGTGCTACACTTCTTGATACACTTATACACACAGTCTTACACACACAGAGTCACACACACACATAACAGTCACACACATTCACACTCATACACATGGTCTTACACACACCTTCATACACAGGCTCACACACATACACACAAAGCCACACATAGACACACAATCAGACAGACATAAAGTCACACACAGTCACACAGTCTCTCTCTCACACAGTCTCTCTCACACACACAGTCACATACAATCACAAAGTCAAACACCACATAGTCTGTCTCTCTCTCACACAAACACAATCACACACACACATATATATACACATACACACGTGTGTGAGCGCATGCACACACACATACACTCACACACTTTCTGTAAAAACCAAAGCATGTTATATAACTGAAAATGATGTTTCAGTCTAGATGTTACCTGGGAATAAGGAGATAATCAAGTTTATTTTGTTTTCTTAACACGATGGGGTATGATATAACTCACAAGATATTATACAAAAATGTCTTGCTCTTGCCTGTTTTTCTAATGGCTGCCCACCTCAAAAGACATTTTCTAGCTATATCAAGAAAACATGAATTCAGCTATGGCTATTAGTTTCTTAACAGATACACCCTCTTTGTCTAAAAATTTACTATGGAAATATACTGTTCAAACATAGTTCACCTGTAAATTAGTATGTTGCATATGAGTAGACTCTGATAACTCCATGCTACAAGCTAGAGTGTTCAATGTAGGTGAGGTGGCCAGAAGTTTCTTTCAAAATTATCTCCAATGATGTCATTAACATTATCAACAGACTTGAGCCCCCACTGTATCTAAGACATTGCTTTGTGCTAGAAATATGAGGTTCCAGAAAACAAAATTTCTAGATAAACACTCAGCATTGCTTTTCTATCTGCCAAGTAAGTAGAAATATTTAAGGAAAATGGAAGGCATCTGCCTCAGTGACTTATGTCCATTTGAGCTCTGCATGAAATCGTTCCTACGTGCTTCCACACGTTACTCATAGTAACCCTAGGATATGAGTAGTAGTGAGCATAGTTATTGCTGGAAAAGTTGGCCTCAGAAGAGATTTTAAGCTGTTGCTCCAACACCACACGGCAAACAGCACGGAATGAGGTGAGAGCCAGACTCCATGATAAGCGGGAAATGAACACAGAATTATCTAATTTTCTGTGTAGCACTGCCAATTAATATTGAATTATAAGCAATTCTTTTCACTGGATATGTGAATCTCATTCATTAAACCTCCTTTTTAGGAATATTTCTATATATTTAATTACACTCCCAAGAATCCTACTCCAGTCTTGTTGATTTGGAAGAAATTTGTTACTAGAAGCAACAACGGCACCATTCAGTTCACAAATGGAAAGTAAATGACACATTTGACGTTCTCCAACTTTGTATAATTAACTCTACCAACAATGAATTCATCTCGTGCCTTAATCTTAAATAAGAAAACTCCAACCAAGATACACACCCATAAGCCCTGCACTGTAACAGGGGAATTGCTGGGGCTTGCTGGCTGCCAGTACAGCTCCATATTTAAACAATAGCCCCTTTATAAGGGAATAAGACTTCTGATAGATCAGGACACCCAAAGTCTATATCTGACCTCTAAATACAGGTGCACAGGCTTATGCACCAGCAGGCCCATATATATATTTGCCACAGAAACATACAGCATACAGATGGAGAAAGGAAGGCATAAAGAAACAGAGGGGAGAAGGGAAGGAAGGAAAGAGACTTCATACAATTGATTAACCAAAAAACACTCCTTTGAAGACTGTTTTTCATAATATTTGATACATGGAATGATCTTCATTCATATAAGCCCATTTGTTAAATCACTGATATATATTTATCTTTGAGTATTCATATAGAAAACTGCTTCCTTGAGTATTGAGAGAATTGATGTAAGATATCTACATATACTTGTAATACATAAGCATATCTCCTTCTCATTGAACATCCTTCCTTCTGAGTAGATCATGTTCTCAGAAATACTCACAGGACAAATGCCCTCATTTCCATCCAGTCTATGTTCAGATATTACTATCTTTGTGAAGGCTTTCATTATCACTTTCAGTAAAGTAGCACCTTGCATGTCACTCATTATATTCCTATTTTTTTTCTTTGTTTCTACTCTTAAAACAGTAACTCTATGAAATAGAGCTCAGAACCTTAAAAATTACATAGCATATAGTAGAAGCTTAATAAATATTTGTGGGAAAGTCAACTAATAAGTCTGCAATAGATGGGAAGGCCAAATTTAAAATGATACCAAGAGAATTCTAGCAATAACTATTAACCACCATTCTCCTTTTGGTATAAAGATCAGGTAGCTAATCAAAGCTTTCCTCTGATTGTTCTAATTTCTACATAGAAGGGTTGAGTTGTTTTAGAGTCCTTACACATATACTAAAAGTCTTCTGGCTTTGGCACCATAAATGGTGGTCTGCTCCAGGAAATTTGTGGTCCTACTTTCTCCTTTCCAGACCAGATCATCACAGGATTACATATGCCAAAGAAGGAATCACTGCTCTTCTGAAACTAATTGTGTTGATATGATTAATTATTGATACATCAAATTGTTTGCCTAAAATCTAATTAACAGAAATTGTCTTATTTTCTTTGAATTATTTACATTCTTCCTCATGAGCTGTCAAATAAGATATTAGCTCCTTCTGTAAGCATCTTGAACTCTTAAGGGCTCTCTGTCCCTGCACAAAGTTCACAGCACATTCTCACCACTTAAGCAGTAGTCCTGTGGGTGTCTTCTAGCAAGCCTCTACTATTTGAGTTTATATTCTATTACCCCCTTACAATGCCTCCTTAGTTTTGAATAGATTTGATGGGGGAAAAAAAGGAAATAAAGAAGACAAAAGAAAGGAGGAAAAGAAAGAGGAAGAAAGAAGTAGAAGAATGAAGGGGTAGAGGAAGGAAGTAGAAGAAGAAAAGGATGCAGAAGGGAAGAAGCGACCAAATGAAACAAGGGGAGAAAGAACAGTCTATCTACAGATAAGGGCCAGTGGTTCAGGTACGATTCTCTCACACAACAGCACAGCCTTGCCTATGACAATGACATGAGCCATTCGTCACAGCTCACGATGCCCTCCTGCAGGTGGGCAGCCTTTGCTTGTCACAGGTACCACTCAGGACAGTTGTTACTGGTGATTCCTTCTACCTTCCTGTAGGCTTTCCAGCTGGAGAGACTCCGCACAAGCCAAGTCACTGATTCCCAAACCTGAGCCTGATTCTTATTCCCTTGGCAGGGCTAAATAATCACAAATGAGCCCACACCAGTTTCTCACCCTGGAGGGCCAGAATGTTGCTTTCTAAAAGGCATTCAGGTGAGGTCCACAATTTAAAACAATTTTACTAGACGCTTCTTGGAGCCACATGAGTTTGGAACAAAACCACTGCATACAACACATTTCTCTAAAAATGTCCTTAGTGTGGTGCACTATTTTTCCTCTACGGCTTTGTCCATCACCATGTCTAATGTCGCACCCACCACTGACTTTTTAAAGCTAGAAAACAGATGCAAGCAAGTCCCTGGTCTCACCACAAAGAAGGAAATAAGGAAGAGTTCATTCAATCCCCAGATTTTTGTTTGCTGAGGTACAAACAGTGGCTTAAGTCATGGAGACATAACCTGTGAGAGGATTGGACCCTGTAAAGGGGTCACAGAAAGTCAGTAGAGAGAAAGACACAGAGATCACAGCCAGGTTTCAAAGTCTGTGATCCTGGGTCAGAATCTTAATTCAGCTACATCACTACGTAAAACCTCGTGGAGTGAGTAAGAACACGTTTTTAGAATAAGTTTTTAGAAACGTATTTGGACACGCCTGTTATTTAGAGATCCACACTGGGCCACGGGGGCCTTAGGAATGAAGTTTCAAGCTCCGTCTGGCCACTCTAAACTGGGGCCACTTGTATCACTGCTTTTTCCATGAGGAATTTAAGGGGTGTGACTGCATCCTTTCCAGCCCTGCATTCCACATGTGACAAAACTGATCCAGCTGTTTGTCTGAAAGAAATTCCTTGCTGTCCTTAAAAATTAAAAGGCAAGTGGATATCCGTTCTCCAGGGGCAAGCTTCCAGCTGGAGCCTGGTAGAGGCCGTTGCGAAACAGTGTACTCCGAAGGGCATCTGCTCTCGAATTCTTACCTCGCCATAGGGGCGTTAGCCCCGTCTTGCTTTTTGAAATGGCAGATTCAGGATGCAAGGTGCTGGCTTGGCCCAAAGCTCTTGAGAAGTGTTCATCCACTACTGACCCAATGTCTCCCTGGAAATAAGTGAAAAGGACACAGCGAGAGTTAAGGTACTCCATCTCGGCAGGCTGGTCTTTCTCCTCCTCCTCCTCCTCATCCTCCTCCTCATCCTCCTCCTCTTGTTTGCTGGGAAGCGTGACTTCCAGAGAGTCCTGCATCTTGCTGTATACCGCTAACTTCTTCTGGGATAGAATAAACAAAACATAGTATCAAAGACAGTTTGTGGAAAAGCATTAACTAGTTAACTTTTCACTTTAAAAAAAAAAGAATCTAAATATTAACATATGTTTGCAAACTAATTGTTCATCTGTTTAATTCCATCTATTCCATCCCCAACCCAGTTGCGTCCCTTGCACAATATAAATAAATAAATAGATAAATAAATAAATAAATAAGTCTGTTATTCTATATTTGGCAAAGAAAGGGGACTATTATCAAACTATAATTTCAGAGTGTCAGTCTTGTTTTTTTCTTTTTCTTTTGTTTTAAACACGCCTATACTAAATAACTTTTTTAAAACAGTGACAGCTTCCTCCTTGGTTTTTTAAAGCTCAGTTTTTATTTACCTTTACGATTTAATGTGCAGTAACATTCTACTTTAGGACACGGAGGAGCTGTGAGACCTAACTGTCTAGGGTAGGGTGGAGAAGAAAAAGCTTTTCATAAATGAAATAAACTAAAATAAAAACAGGAATGCACCATCTTATAAAAGGATTTGGCAGATGTGCTGAACTCATTTCTCAAAAATCAAACTGAAATGACAGAGTAAGTCTGTGTGAAGATCCATTTTGCATGGAGCATGTTTTTCTTATGTTCCACTCACCACTATTTTCATAGAGGGGGAGAAAGGGGTTATTGTGGCTTACGGAAAATACAACAAAATAGTTGCAAGGATTCACTCTTCAAATAAAAATCCAGCAGAGTTTGATATGCTAAAATATTTCAATATTTGGCCGTATCTACAGTAACCATTAATCTATATTATCCAATAAACTTTCTTAAAACCATATATATATATATATATATATATATATATATATATATATATATGACCTGAGTTGATTTTTTTACATTCCTATACCATGATTACTGCTGCCTTATGTATCTAAAAGACAAAGAAACAAAGGTATAGAAAAGCTAGGTAGGCTGCCAACAGTCACAAAATGTATGACTGATGAGGACACAAATATAAGGAAAAGCAAGTAGGTGTAGACATACATGTACAGCCATGTTGGGAGACAAAAGGAGAAATATGTAATATGGTTTTCTAAAAGCCACTAAGGAATCATGATCAGCATTGTCTTACTGAATGGGAACTTGGTAACTAACTGTTAGTTTTGTTTCATCGGCTTTTCCATCCTTCCAACTACTTTCACTGAACATGTATGACTTAAAGAGTACTAACAACCTCAATGCAAATTGTTCATAAGAAGACACTCCTGGTAACCACATAAACATTCCATACAAATAGCATAACAACAAAATTCAATTTCTTTTTTTTTTAATTCAATTTCTTATATTTTCTTTATTTTTTTAGGGAGAAATTATGCATGCTGGAAAAATAACTATGAATAGCAAAAATATGTAATTCCGCTATCCTCAGTAGTTTCACACAAGTTAGCAACATATAACTCACACTTTTTTCCTTATGTAATTACTAGTTTTAAAACCAGTAACCTCAAATTATAATTGCATCTTTAATTAATGCGCCATTTTCTTCTAGCACTATACTGTTCTTATTCCAGGTGGCTGCTGAAATGGCCATATGATGAGGCACTGATTATTATATGGAAGATATTATTTATAAATATATGTGGCATTTTTAATTTAAAATTTGTGTCAATATGGTTAGTATTTTTCTTATGAGTAGATAATTTATTCCATATGAATGACTGTTTCTTATTGATGAGCAGGTAGTTATAATACTGTCTGGTACATTTCTTATGATATGCTCTTGTTCAAATTTGACTTCTAAAGTAAAATACTACGTTAAGATAGGTTATGTAAAAAGGAGAAATTGAGTTAAATGGCTTTGAGTTTTTTATTTCATTTAAAAAAATTAAACATAGTATAATTTACTGGTCAAACCACAGTGCTATTTTTTGAGTGCTTACATATTAACTAAAAACCTGCATGGACATAGCTACACATAACTCTGTCTTGACTATTCTGGCTTATTTGAAATACCGCTTTTAGACTGAAAGGAAATTAAGACTGATCCACAGAGTTGTTTCTCTGTTCAGGCTATTCATTGTCACACATGAAACAGATGAGGTTGTGCTTTGCACGTAACTCTATTTTTTTATTTTTATTTTTAACATTGATTACCTAAATAAAGGAAAGGCTTTGTTTCATTGCCAACTAATAGCAATTACATCTTAAATAAAAAAAATTAAATACATGCAAGGTAATTTTTAACATGAATAAGTTTGTGCTAATTGAGAGCGATCACAAACTATCTCGATTAATTGCTGGCAGTTGGATTTAAGCTATAGAATTTCATTCTAAGATTGCACAGTTTTGTAAATGCTGTATAATTCATGGGACTTCTTCTACCAAGTATGGAACAGCTGACTACAAATAAATTAATATTCAAAATCACATACTTATGAGGTAAAAAGCAAGCTAAGTCTTATATCAAAATAGCTACCAATAGTCTAATTTGTAAAAAATCATTCTCTTGTTGCTGGGTTCATTAACTGAGGCTCTGCATTTTTAAATTTCATACATAAACAACATACCTCTCCTTGTACAACTATGCATGACAAAATAGTCCCTTCTGACATTGTGAATACCTGTAGTTCAGTCCAAAATGAGCCTATGCTCTACCAACAGCAGGACACACAAATGTTTGTGACTCTACTTGTACTTCCCCACATTTGCTCTAATTGTTATAAGCTATAATGAAACTATTTGGATATTTACATTTCCAACACATATTTAAACTAAAAGGTCACTTAAGTAAGAATTTTAAAGTATCCAAGTGGTCTGATAATTACCAAAACTTCCAAGTTTGAATTTGTGTAAGGATTTTAACTTAAATCCTTACAGCAGAAAGGACATAGGACATCTCACTTAAGCATCTGGTGGCTTATATGCTGACATCACACCACCTCACTTCCCAGACTGGAGTGAGCACCAACCACTTTCCTTTGAACTATTGCACACATGCACGTTGGCTACATTCAATATTCATTTGGCCTTTAATTCTTTCATGCTCTTCCCCTAGTACTGCATGGTTTTGTTGGGGGAAAATATAAATAAATCTTAAAGTTGAAATTACATCTCAAAGTATCAGAACACAGATTTGCAGAATCAAGGTCAAAACAGCACCCATTTCATACATATTTCAAAATACAATCATTTTCTGTAATATATCCAAGTAGCTAATTAGTATCTGTATACTTCTTACAAGACTGGGAAGAATTTAAAGAAATAAACAACCAAAACAAAACAGTTACTGAAAGAGTTCTTTCAAACTACAAGCTGGGGTGACAGAGGTGGCACACTGAGTGAAGCACTTGCCAAGCAAGCAGGAAGAGCTGGGTTTGGATTCCCAGTACCAGCGTACTGGGCTCAACCACTAGCCTATAACCCCAGCACTGCGGAAGCAGTAACAGAAGATCCAGGGGGCAATCTGGCTGGGAGAGCCCAGCTGAATACCAACAACATGAGCTGTGGGTTCAAATAATAGATGCTGCCTTACTATTTAAGGTAGGAAAAAAATAGAGGAAGACACACACTCAACCTTGTCCCTCCACACACTTATGCATACAAGCAGGCAGTCCCTTATACACAAGTGTAATAACAAACATGTGAACACACACACACACACACACACACACACACACACACACACACACACA